AGAGGACTGTCCCTTTGTCACACGCTGCCTTTTCTGCCTCTTCCAGGATCCAGGAGAAGAGAAGTGTCAGTGGTTGAGAGCTTGGAAGGGAGCTTAATTACATGTTTGTTAAATGTGCATGCCAACATGTACATTAAACATCCTTCCAAGATGAGGTTGGAGAACGGCATCCTGCCTGTGGTGCAGATGGTGGTGAGGTCTATGAGACTTGATAATTGCTGGGAAGGTTTGTACCACCCTATGGACTGGACCTGGAGCACATGCTGTCTCCTGCTCAGATGTGCTTGTGTAAGGAGCTCTGTCTTGCAGAGGACTAAAGTTGTCAGAAGGACTCAGTTCCACCCCAAGTCCTGCACTCCACACGATGCTGCTCTGCGGTGCAGAGCTGGCAGCGACGACTGCACTGAAGAGCTTTGTTTATCATGTTGTTGTGCTCTAATTATTACTCAGACTCAAAATTATGTGTTCTTCAGGAGTGACGGGGTTTGGGACTGTCAGTCAAAATTTGTTATTATGAGTGATGTTGTTTTCATCCCAGTCTAGCTAATGCCAGTGAGGATGTTCCAAAAATTTTTGTTTGTCATGTATGTTTTACAGTTTAAAGGTGATCTCTTTATGCTATTATCCCCCCTGCCACTATTGCAGAAATAGCGTCTTCTTTTTAAGGTGTTCAGAGTCATCTGCTTCACACTGAGCTGATGACAGCTTCGTATTTGTCTCTGGAGGTTGCCTGGAAATTAACCCCTCTGTATTTAGCTCACAGTGTGCCTTGTCAGAGCCTCCTCTGGGAGGTGGTGCGGTGGTACGGCAGGGCTTGGTGGCCCTGTGACGAGGAGGCTGAAACATCAGGGCCATCTTGCCCAACGTCAGCTATTCCTGTAGGCTGAGCCTTGCAGAAATCAAGGTGCTGACAGACAAAGCCCTGATGAAGTTGGCTGCAAAAATTAAAGCATCTCCCACTTGCAGCTCTCTGCTGACTCCTGTCCTGGCATTACCGGCCCTGGCTCGGCGCTGGCAGGATGGATCCTCTGCCTCCGCCTCTGCTGTGCACCGTTCAGCGACTGGGCGAGACCAGCTCTCCTCTGTCCTTCAGACTGAACACCCCTCCTGCGGTCGTCCCTGCCAGCTTTGTGGTGGAGACGGTAGTTTGTGGCTGAGGGAAGAGAAAAGCTGGTGGCAACGTCTTGAAACTCCTGCTACCGTGTGCCGAGCAGCAGTGACTCAAAGCCTGTTTTGGCTCCGAAATTGCACACAACTGCACCCCGGGGAGCAGCGTGATCTCGCAGAGTGCTGAGCAGCAACCCCGGACATCCGTGGAAACTCGTGGGGTTAGCATTTATCTGTACTAAAGCAAAAGAGAACGGAGACAGGTCTCTAAGTGCCACAAATGCGAAATTACTCACCAATTTTCAGAATGTAATTACTCCTCAGTTAATCGAGTCCCTTGAAAAGGTTCTGGACACTTTTTACAGCCATAACTAGTGAAGTCACTTTTGTGTTACCAACATCGATTTTGGTCCTTAATACATTTAGATTGTGAGTAAACCCTCAGATGTTCTGTAAAATGTCAGCAATTTACAGCATACCTTTGGAATTCAGATCCAAACCAGTTTTGCACTATAGGTATGATGGGTTAATCACCATTTTATTCTGCGTATAAGCAAAAAAAATCTTTCAAGTCAGTTCTGTGCTGCAGAGGCAGTCAGTGGAGCTTTTCCTGTAATGTGAGTAATGAATCTTGGCTGGGATGAGCATTTTGGAGCCACAGTTCTGCAGAAATTCAAATCCCTGAAGGAAGCACGGTAGCATGGAGGCCTGCAAATAATGGATTACAATAATCCCACCAGGAAGCGATCATGGCATGTATAAATATTTGCCTTGGTTGATTGCAAATTACGTCCCCCTAAAAGATGTTTGTCACTGTCGTTAGCATCTTCTAAATGCTTTACCAGCCGTGGTGTCATTCACAATGAGGACTCCGTCTCTACCAAGCACGACCTCAGTGTCTGAATGGGATCAGATTGTTTTTTCCTAGAGTTTTTATTCTACTGATTAAAACCAAACCAAAAGCCTGTGGTGTCAGTCTGGAGTATTTTCCTGAACACCACAGAGTGTGCAAACCAGGGAGTGAAATTGTGGCCATCCAGAAGTCTGCATCTAACCAGAACCTGAAATGAGATCAGATTCATATGCAAAGGGGGGGATTTCGTTGTCTCCACGCACTACTGCCCCGTTTTTAAGTCCCGGCTGAAGGTGGGGATGGCTCCGATGAATGGGAACAACCTGTACTGGCAAAGGGCGCTTTGCAATTTCCCAATCAGAGTCCTGTCAAGCCGGGCTAACTCACAGCCTTTTACATCTTGCAAATTCCAAGAGGGATTAAGTCTTCATTGTCAGTCTGGTGAAGCAAGTTGAAACTCAGCTGAAGTTTTAAAGAAAAAAAAAAGAAAGATCCAACAGTCTTCACCAGAGGCAGCAGAGTAGGAGAGAATGGGATTTAGAACAGAAGCACGGCCAGAAATCAATGGAGCTTTTATGGCATCCCTCCTCATTTATCTATAAATCCCATTCTTTCAGCTATTTAGGCCTTATCTCCACACAGAAGCCGAATTAGTTTTATTTTGTAAACCAATTTAGGAAAGCTAGTGCAAAGCCCTGTATAGATCCCCATATTTCGGTTTAAGAGTGGCTGCAGAGGTTAAGCTAGCACCTGAAACAAAACCTCAGTTAAAGTGGTACTGCTTGCGCTTATCTGCATGGAAGATAGAGTGAAATAACTTAGATGTGAATTTAAAGTGTTTGAGGTAAAACCTATTAAGCCCCTGGGTGGATGCTTTTATTCAGACATAAAGGAGCCTTTAGTTTGCTTGATTCATTCCTAAAGCAAATTACAGTTACTTTATTTCTGAATGAAACTTTCCATATAAGGATTTAATGTGCTTTAACTAATCTACTTTAAATTCACATCTGTAATTTGGCTTAGTTTCCTGTGTATACAAACCCTTTGTGTGTCGTCCAGGTCTGATTTGCTGGAGGAGGAAGAGGAAGGCAGAAAAATTTTCTCACTGAACTCTGTGGTAATTAGTTATAAATGTCTCAGTAAAATGAAACAAAAGGCCCAAGCATCTCCAAAGCATCAGTCAGCCGGGTTCTCGCAGCCCATAGGTTTACACCAATTGAAGATCGATCCCTTTGCCTGGGGTTCACCTTGCTGTTTTCACGTTATTCCCTGCTGGAGATGGGTTCCAAGTATCAAAAAAAAAAAAAAAAAAAGCATTTCTGTTAATTGAAGTATCAAAAAAAAGGCATTTCTTGCCTTCTCCCACATTCAAGCTATCCTACCCGAGGGCGGCACTGCTCTTGTGGTAGCAACTTGGAACCTGTCTCGTCCTCCTAAGAGCATTTAATTTCCCCCTCCTCCGGCTGGGGCAGGATCCGTGTAACAGTGTCCCTGCTCGGAGCTGTTAATGATTGCACGCGGCTCTTCTGCTCAACGAACTTTCGCTTTCACCAAGTTCTCAATGACAGGATGTGGTTTGCTGTGTGAATGTAAATGAGAGAGGAGGATCTGGCCCAGTAGGTTTTCAACCCACTTCTAAAATACTCCAGGGTCTTTGGCTGCATAGTTTATCTGGCTTGTTTTGGGGTTTTTTTTTTTGCTGCTGTCGTTTGCTAGTGCTGGGGTGATGACTGAACACTCATCAGAACATTTCCTACTGCCTAGAAATTAATCTGCTAATTCAGGGGAACGTTCGTTTACCGAAACATCCTCTCCATGACAGCAATTATTGGAGGTATTACAGGAAAAGGTGCAAACAAACAAACCGAATAACCTTCAGGGTAGACAGTTCTGAGCAAGCTTTGCCAAAAGGTACTTTGTGTTGAATGCTTTAACGCATACCCACAGTTATTCACGTTGCAGTGTCGCAGCAGAATTAAGTTGCTGAATCAATTGCTACAGAAGGTGTCACATACAGAGATACAAGCCTCTGATTCTGTTCTTTTTTACAGTTTAGAGGAATGAGAATTAAAAGATAAGAAATAAAAACTGGCCTGAGAGGGGAATCAGGGCAGCATCTGGTATTCTTGTTCTAAGTGACAGGCATCAAACTTGTTTGAAGACCACAGATGAAAACTAATGCTCATATTCTTCTTTTCCCTCTTGTGGGCTGGCCAGGTGGAAGGCAGCCAGTGGCTGCAATTATATGCCTGCATTTGTCTCCAAATTATCAGCACAAAAATAGGCATAATTTTAAAATCTCCAAAGTATGTAAAAATAGCTAGGTTTTGTTTATTCTTCTCCTCTCTCCTTCTCTGTTTCTTTCTCTCCATCTCAGGTTTTGGTGCTATACTGTCTTCGTGATACTCTGAGCACATTAAGCAATGGCAATTGCCCATACCAAAGGTGACTATCTTCCTCCTTGAGCAATTGATAATTTCAGATTTTTCACATTTTTTGAGATATGTTTGCAGCCAGTGCGGCACCCTTATCATGTAAAAAAGCAAAGGGGCAAAGGGTTGGTCTTCAGAGGTTCCAGAGAGCCCATGCCGTAGACTTGGTCAATCCCACACCAAGTCCTGTGTCTGGCATAGACAGTCCGTACCTTTACCATGGACACCTGTGTTGTCCATACTGACCACTGCTCAATGACCTTTCTGGGTTTCTGATCCATGTCCATTGAGCACCTAGAGCTTAGGGGCTGAGCCTGTGGTGTTGACTTGCTGGTCTCTGTAAAAGCTTGAAACATATCTTGGTTTTTTCTTTCTGATTCCTGACGCCCATTTGGATGTGCTGTGCCCGCATGGCATTTCTGAAAACTTATTGCAGGACCAAATGTAATCACTCCTCTAAATTTCTTCTAATAGATATACTGTAAAGGCAGTCTTAATTTGACTTCCAGTGTACTGTAAATGGGCATGACTGAAGTGTGAGTCTAATCTCCACAGCGATCTGCACAAGCCTACGGGGGAGGTGGATCTGGGCTCTTTCAAAGACTACGATGAAGTTGCCATATAACGTTGCAAGATACTTTCCTACGAAAGGCTGCTATTCAGTGAGCATGGCTGCGTATAAGTACACATTAGGAGAATCCGTCAAATCAAAGTTTATGTCCAAACCTTTGACATGCGGGTTTCGTCTCAGGGAAGAGCAGCGTGTGACCTACAACGAAGCCCACAGTAGGCACGTGCCAATTTATGTCACTGTCTGTCCTGGTGTGGACCGCACATCTCCTTCCCACTGCCCATCCACAGCACATCGCTCACTGAGCATGTGGACAGATGCCGTGTCTCACCTCTGGAAAAACGGGGGAAACCCTTGTCCACTGCCCTCCAATTCACTGGTGAGACACAGGATCTGCCAGGCGGATTTCACCTTCAGAGAGAACATCTCCAGTTCCCGTGGTCCGCCCGGACCCGGGGAGAGGGGAACTCCCATTGAGATCAGGGGAGGGATCAAAGAGCAGGGGTTTGCCCGAAGCGGGCTGTGGGGCAGCCCTGCCGTGGGTGATTTAACACCTGCACATTCCCAGAGCTGGCAATCAAAGCTGAGAGCGTCTAATTTTTTTCTGTTGCCAAATTTGTAAGTTCAAATAGAATTGGGGGGTTTGGGTTTTTCTCAGATTTTTCTGTAGAAAGCTTTTCTGTTTCTCAGTCGCGTGGATCATGACCTTTTCAGCCTCTAATTAAATTGAAGCCATACAAAGTGTTTTGGGCAGGACTTGCGGGTGGTGTAAGTCAGAATGAATCCGTAGCGCCGAGGATCAGGCCCATCACACTTTTAAAAAAAGTCAGCTGCTTTCTTATTCAGGAAATAAAACCTAAAAGGTTCTGATGTACCATTCCCCTAGCTTTAAGCCAGTACATTTCCACTGCAATCAGCTATAACTAAATCACTACACTGTCATGAAGTTGGAGTAACGTGGGTAAAAACCAGTTTTCTTCCACATTGTCCTGTCTAACTTTAATGATATCTTGGGCATCGTGGCTTAAGCCAAAAAAAGCACTCTTTTCATATGATCTTTAGTTGATGCAAGTTTTCAACATCCTAGTCTTTATATTGCAATCTTTTAATTGTTGTTTACTTTATTTAATTACTGTTTTCCTTGCTAATTCTAAATATACATCTTTCCTCTCTACTTCAAGGCTTTTGGGACTTTTCCAATCAGTCCAGTATCAAAGAACATTTATGGTCTTGTATTTAAACTTCTCATGCTTGTAAACTAAAACCTGCACAGCCCTAAGGCCAAAGCTTTGGCTGTGTGTTGTAGGTAGTTGATTTTTTTTTAATGTATACGCTAATCTTTTAGGAAGAAGGTCTTTTGCAGAAGTGAAAATCTTATCAGAAAAGTTTGATGTTTACATTTTCTGATTTGGATGAAAAGATAAAAATTGAAAAATCTGAAGCTGATCAATGAAATTTCTTCTTCTTTCTTTTTCCCTCTTTGTTCTTTTTGTTTTTCCATGTTATCTCTATGAAGGAGGTGTGAGAAGAAATCTGTGAAGACCAAAAGCCTTTCCATTTCATGTTGAAAAAAAAAAAGAGCTTTGTTATTTTATGAACAGGGGAACATTTGGGAGATAATAGTTTCCTTTTGGAATTTCATACATATATATATATATATATATATATATAAAATGGAGCTGAGACACCCCTAGGCTCCTCAGGCACTTCAGTACTAATTGTACTCTTCCTGTGATATTTTCCAGGATGTCTTTTGTTTGAAGGACTCAAGGCACTTGCCGTGAAGGAGATCTTTAAGACTGTCTGGTGGGGAAGCTCTGCACTCGTTAAAGCACATGAAGTAAGACAGAGAGGGGCAGCATCACTGCGGTGCAAACATGTGTAGAAATGCAAGTGGTCAGATGGATTAGTAAGTGATGTGGTGGGACAGGAGGGCTCTGTGAGTGCCAGGGACCCTCTGTCTGTACCTATATGTGTTATGGGGTGTAAACAGCCTGCCAGTGGCTGCACACATTAGGTGTGTGCCTCTCGAGCACGACTTTTGAGTTCATTTCACTTGCAAGGATGAGTTTGTGCGCTCTGGGACACATCGCTCCGTGATGTGAGATAACATGTGGGAAGTGGGAGGAAAGAAGGAGGTTTGCTGCACAAGAGTTCACCCCATCGGACATAAAACACTTGTACAGACACTCCCGCAGTCAGAGAAAAGTCAGGGGATTTGCTGCAGCCCCGCTGGGAAGGCAGAGCAGGGCTGAGGGGTCTCCCAAGCTGCCTGCTCCCCCCACTGAGCCCCTCGCTGCCTCCCAGGGAAGAGCCCCCCACTCCAGTACCCACCCTGACACTGCCCAGCAGCCGCACGTCTTCCAGATGTTGTGGTCGTGCCTCAAATTGCAGTGCGGAGTGATGGACAGCTTTCAGGAGAAGCAGAGCTTGGAGTTGGTTTTGGCGATACTATAGTGCTGTGCAGAGCATTGAGAGATGGGGTTGGAAATCTCTTGATAATAAACTTTCTCACGAGATTTTTGGCAACCTTTGCATCTTGTCCCAGCTGGAAATGCTATGAGAACATCTTTTCTCGGGGTATTTTGTCACTCCCAATTTCAGACAGCAAGTGGGAAAACATTTATTCTAGCATCAGAGAGCTTCAAAAAATGGTCCGGTAAACTGAATCCTAGAACAAAAGGGAAATTGAGGGGCTTTTGTTCTATTTAAACTCTTTCAACCAATACGCTACAGAAGGTCATTTGAAAGTTACAGAAATAAGAGATGAAGAAAGCTGTCCAGATCATTGGGACATCTAATGAATCTCCTTTTTGGTTCAGAGTTATTCGTTCTAATCCAGTGTCTTGTATTTTGTCAGTCTACTTTTAAACAACCCAAGCAATAAGCTTTCTACTTCTTCCCAGAGACACAACAATAAAAGCCAGTAGATCTCAAGTCAGGATTATTTTTTTTTTTGCTGATAACCAGAACACTTTTTTTTTTTCCTCTCTTTTTCTTAGCACTTGGCCTCACGAACAAGTTACCCCTGCTGAGCTCAGCTCTGGTGGTGACTGCGTGCCCCCTCCTAGCACGCAACGAATGCGGCTGAGCTCTAACCTATTTCAGGGCAGTTTGGGGCTTTTGGGCTAAAAGTGCACAGGTAAAGAGTTACTGTGGCTCTGCTGACACATGCTAACTTGGCAAGTGACGTATGCCTTACATGTGTTCAAATTTTTAAATCCATCCCTGATGTTCCCTGGTTTAAAATACCCCTGTAAATAATAACTCTGCTCCTGAGGCATTTATATTAGCTGGGCACTTTAATTCAGTGCTCAGGCAGGCTATACCTAGTTAACTCTTACTCCTTTCGTGTACCTTGGTCCTTCCATCTGCCTCATCTCTTTTGCTGCTGCCTCCTGAATTTCCTGCAGTTTCCCCGCTCCTCTGGCGCTGGGGACCGCAGCGCGCTGCTCCATGGGCTCACCTCGCAGCTGTTTACGAGCACATCATAAACAGGAATTTAGGTTTAGGTATGAGCGTAGCTTTGTGTGACCCGAACAGTGCACTTTCCACACCTCTAATAATGATTCCACTAAGGGCAGCTGTTAATTTCCGGACTAATATATTGTGTATTGTTTTCCTAAAGTTTCCCCCTATCCTTTTAACAACTGCCCTTTTCAGACAGATACGCACCTAGAGCTCTGTTGTTGTGTCTTAATTATCTGCAGATCACATATGATCAATGAAAAGCTCCTCTCTTCGCCCTGCCAGCTCTGTGAGCCCAACCTGGGATCTCACAATGAACCCAGGATCTTTTTTTTGGTTACACATCATTCCCAGGAATCCTGTTTCAGCCTGAACTCTATTATCCATACAATTAAGGTGAATTTGAGCTGCCATGTAAAGTTTTCAAAAGCGCTTAGGTGACCTTAGAGGCTGGGGCTTATTTTCAAAAGTGACTTGGTGCACTCAGGAGCCTAAGTGAATTGATCTCTATTAACTTGTTGCTCCCTTATGATTTAAATGCTTTTGAAAAGGGAAGTTGGGGTTCCTTAGGCATCTCAGGCATTTCTGACAAGATTGCTAGTGTTATTTAGGCGCAAATGTGTCAGACCTCAGCTAGCACAGAAGAACTGGGGAAGTACCAAGTTTAATTTTCAAACTAAAATTTGAGTTTTGGGGTGTAATGCTCAGAACACTTATGCTGGAAACGAAGACAATTTGATCGTGAAAGTGGTAAGAATAAACACGAAACCCTTAATTTCTGCCTTTAGTATAGTCTCAGTCTAAGTGACTGAGACACACTGTGGCGGCTGCTGTAAATCCCCGTTCGGGGACACTCAGTGTAGCTGAAGGAAGCGAGAGGACGCGGTAACAAATAAGACTCTCTATTATATTACCAGCCATTTATTTGAGGCTCTGGCATTTTTACTGGGTACTTGCCTTTGCTGTAATGGGCTACTCCTCTTTGTGGTGCCTAATGTCTTCTTATAAATGTTTCTAAAAAAATATGAAAACTTTAAAATATGAAAAAAATACAGCATGGGCATGAAACAGCAATGTTGCATATAGCTGTATTGTTGCAGATAGGTGTACTCCCATTTATCTTGAGTTTTGCCTCGGAATATTCTTAAATGTCCTGAAATCGAGGTCGAGAGTTTTCTGCTTAAAAGTTTTATACTATGCCAACTAAATGGACTCCGTTCCTCAATCAAAATGCAATTGTTAATAATTTTCTGTTTCTCAGTCACGTTCACAGTGGTTCTTCATTGCTTATATTCTCTCATCAGCATATGTTGCTCACAAATAGCTACTGTAATGCTGCTGGATGAAACACACAAAAGGTACATTAGAAACAACCTTTAGCCCAGCTGGGCAAATTAAACTCCCACAAACACTAGCAATTCCCTTGGAGTTAGAGTAGAGTTCATCAGTGTTACGTATCATTGTCCTGGAGTGAGATTCACAACTGAATTCAAAGCGCACATTATCCTACACTATTAGAGAAAAAAACCAATGTGTTACTGACCCAGTCTTACCTTGGAGAAAGATATGAAGGACTACCTCCCTTTAAACAGATTTTTTTTCCCCCTTTAGTTTCAGTGCTTTAATTACACTCATCTCTATATTAGTTCACACCTATGGAGAGAAAGTCACAGAGGTCCAGAAGAACAAGGGCTGCCACACTTTTGTGGGCAGACAATCAGTTCATGGAACTTATGGTTGAAGACGAGAAATTTATTTTCATATTCCTCCCTCTGCGTGCCTCAACTTGCTTCTGATCTTACGGGGCACTCCGTTCGCAGTGGTTAGACGGCTCCTAAAAGCCAGCGTGACTGCAGCAGCAGCAGTGTGGCTGACGGGAGAGGGTCGCTGCAGTCCGAGTGAGGGCAGGACGGGGTCTGTCGGCTGCGACGGGGTTGCATCAGGCGTAAGGCAGGCAGGAGCCCATCTTTTGGGTTTCTGTATTTTTAATCTGTGTGATTAGATGGCGTGGGGATGGCAGCCCCTCGGTTGTGATGCAGAGATCATTTGATTTTTTGGTGATGTGCATAC